TTAACTGTAAAATAATAAGTGTTGCTGCTCCCCTAATTCAATACAAATAAGTGACAGAGACATGAACTAAAAGAAGAAAACAAAGCTAGTTCTAAATCAAATCTATATGAGGAAAATGTTACGAAGCCACTTTTATTAACTCCAAGCCTCATGGTTTTTACATCAAAATATTTTTTGACAAAGAAACCATAACTCCATCTATAAGATATAGAAATCGATAAGATTTCAAGAAGCTCATTACGGTTTTAACTCTGTGAACAAACAGGCCATGCCCCTTTAGGCCAATTTTTTAGCTCCATCCCCCCCGCACAAGTCATGTTTTGTGCCTAAGGCACCGGGTCATGAGGATGACACCAAAAAATGGGCTTGTGAAAATGTAAAACCAGTTAATCATAATAACGACATACTCTGAAATTGTGTAAAATGTTTTATTAGACATAACCAATGCAAAAATATTTGCTCAAGAAAAATATGTTCCTCTCTTCAGTCTTTTCCATGGAGTCCATTTTCCATCCATGAGGCCAGTATGGATACAAAAGGAAAAACCTACACTACAGGTGATCCTATAACAGTCATGACTACTGTTGCACCGATACTGATACCAGTATCAGGCGGGGCCCCGATCCAGTACTAAAATGGTGGTATTGGTATCGGCAAGCACCAACAAATAGGGCACCGATACCATTTTGAGAGCCAAAAGTTTATTCAACTATTGTCACCCATTCCTGGATTCACTTTGTATTAGTCTTTTTCCTGCTTCACAAAGGTAGGCAGCAGCTTAACAAAGCCATGATGGCAATTATTTTACATCCAAGTAGTATGCAGTTCTTCATATATACACACACACATCAATTTCATACAGATGGTATCGGTATCAGCCGATACTGCACAGCCAGGTCTGAGTATCAGGGCCAAAAATTGGCATTGGCCCAACACTAGTCATTACAAATGAATCCAACAAAGCTTAGCAACAGGAACATTGCCCAAACATTAAAACCAGAGCTCTCAAAACTCTGGTTTTAAATACACATTAATTAAAATTCTTTTTAATGGAATGATCATTTTTTATCATGACTAACAAACATGTTTCCATGCATTTTGGACCTAATCTGTGCTGTAATGTAATATATATTTTGATTGCTCTTTCAGTGTTTTCAACCATATCTTAAACTATTGTGAGATGTTTTTTGGTTATTGTGGTAGTCATAGAAAAAAACAAAAAATCATAGGAAAACATAAGAACAGATGCTGTGTTCAACCTTCAAAAACAGAAGGCTGAATAGCTGCAGCAGCAAATCAGAACTAAATGGCGGATTACCTCATGCAATACACTGTGGTAAAAATCAATACATAAGACGTTAACCTCATCTTCAGGAGATGTCTGTCAATTTCAGATTCAGTTATGCGAATGGACCACATAAAAAGCAGACATGTGGAGGGAATTTTTTTGAAACATTGGGTCCATGGATAATGTGTTTTATTTTTGCTCTGTATTATACTCCTCAATGTTAAAATTAATTTTTAGTACTTTATTTTCTCACTTAAATCCCTCTTTCCTAATAAAGTGCCATTTAATTATTTTTTTCTTTATGAATGGTAGAAAAATGTTACCATGTGTTGCAGTGTATGCACCATTGATGGTGCAAAATTCTCAACCTGCAGGTGTTTTAAAAATATTACTATAAAGAAGTTGCTTTTGAAATAAAACAGATTGACAAATATTATTGTCCATTTATAGGTAGGGGACACTGTTCAGGGCCCCTAAAAGGCTAGTTCCACCGTTGATCTTATCTTTTATCTCACAATATGTCAGGTTTTTTTTGTTTTGTTTTTTGTTTTTTTTTGCAGCCTCAGGTTCCTTCTTAGATGTCTTAATGCTAGCTTGCTGAGTCCACTCTCTGTTTCCTTGAGTGGTGAAGGACTGCTCAGAGTGATGCAGTTATCATTCAACTCTGCCCCTTTTTGTGACCGCTAAACCTCACAGCAGAAATCATTTCCCCCACTTTTCCCTGACTAATGCGCCACATGAAAGGCATAACAAGCAAGGCTGGGTTCTGATCAGCCGGGACTCTTAGAGTGATCCAGACAGATGGTTCCATCTCATTTTAGATTGAACTGTTCATCTTTCACCCCCACCATCGCTAATAATGACTTAATCATTAAAACTTCATTAAAATAAACACTTAAGCTTTTACAAGACATTCCTGAAACATGGTTGCTCACCCTGAAGGGCTGGTTATCCTCCCGCAGCAGTGTGTCGCAGGAAGCTTGTAGCAGATATTATTGATTTATGCCCGATATTGAAGCATAGTCGGCGCTATGTAATTCCACGACACAACGCAAGAGGGACAATCATGAACTAGCTGTGGGTCTAGATACGGCCGAGGCGGTGAGGAAGTGGGGGCAAGTTTGTGCGACAACGGAGTGACATGAGGGTGAAAAAGAGCGGGGATCCAGGTGGAAAAAGGGTCCCAGCGTTCTCGCGCGCCTTGCTCTTCTAACTGGTTTATCTTCACATGTCTTTTTTCACAATGGCGGTCATAAAAACAAAACAAACCGGTAAGGTACCAAACAGGAAACACGCATAGTGTAGAGCGGATGTAGATTTGACCAATCAGAGGCCTCCTGTCTGCGGCACTGTCTGCGATCACCTACAATTTTGAAGAGGTGCAGCAGAGGGTCTGCGGAAGGGGTGGGGTCTCATTTGCATTCACTGCGACACACGCAGATGACGTGGTTTCTGAGTACAAATAAGCCTTTAGCCTGGTTCTGGCTCTGTTTGGAAGTTTCTTCCTGTCAAAATAGAGTTGTTCCTTTCCTCTGTCACTACATGCTTGATCAGCTTGAGGGAATTTTCATAAAGCTTGTTTTTTTAGTTTGAATGCCTTGTATTTGAGAAAGGATCTTATTTGAGTCTGTCTGTGTTGCTTTAATGGTGGGATCATCTAAACAGGATCTGTGTGTCGTACAAAAGACATTTAGATGTCATTTACTGCGATTTGTTACATTTCTGCCAGATGTGGGGAACTTGCTTCAATGAAATGTTGTTTTGGATATGATCATTGAGCAGGAGTGTCTGGAAGGTCAAACAGCTGGGACAGCATCCAAGCTACAAAAACCAAGAGAAAAAGCTGGACTCGACATCAGAAAAATCAACTTTTTATTCATATCTCATCTTTATGATGAAAACAGAATCAAATACATCAGATAATTTTGTTCTCACAGATTCAATAAAAATAAACAGTGCAATAATCTCAGAGAAGGAAACCACGCCAGAATTTCACAGTGCAAACCCATGAAGAACAAGTCCTGCCTGCTGACAGCAATGATCTGAAGCAGCCCTCTTCATCCTGAAGGTTTCTGCTTGTCTGCTGAAGAAACCCGCCTAAGATTCAGAAACCTGCAACTTCTCCAACCATGCTTCCGCACAGCTCTGCAGATATCTCACCCACAGAGTGCTTCCCCTTTAGAATCACAACAGATCTGAGGAATTCAAATTTTACAACCATCATAAATTAGTATGATATCAATATCCTGTAAATAACAGAAAGAATCACGTTTAACAAAACTCAGGAAGTGCACTTAGTTTTTAGATGACAAACATTTTGTGCAAAAGGAGGAAATGTTGTTTAAAGAGTTTGTGAGCAGAAAAATTGGAAAACAGAATCCATCCATCCTTCTTCTTCCACTTGTCCATCAGGATAACATTTGACTGGTGCCAATCTCCAGCAATCTACAGGCTTAGACGGTGTACGCCGTGGACAGGTCCATTAGTAGCCTATCCTTTTTTAGAATTTTAGCAGAGTGTGGTTATATTGAAAAACAAACTCACTGCTTAATTTCAGGTTACAATTATCTTAACCTGCAGGAGGATTTGTTTCAGTGTCAGGAGAAGCTGTATGTTCATCAGGATCTATAGGATGCAGGTATCTGCAAATCAATCATCCATCCTTACAGTCACCTGACCCCCAGGTTAAAGGTCATGTGAGGATCCCAATAAACTCTTTCAATATGATCAGATTCACACTGTGATCCAAAATATGCCGTAAGAAAGAAGAGTTTTAGATCAGTGTGTATCAGGCCAAACCTGCAGCTGATATCGGTTGGATTTTAGTGTTCTGTTTTCAATGTAAGTGTTGTTCTATGCAGTTTCTGTAGTTTGTTGAAGGGAGTGCTGCTGCTGGTTCTTGGACCTGCGTCGGTTCATTCACTTTTAGGTTTTATTGGATAAGTTTGGTTCCTCCCCACATATTCTAGTGAAGGTTCTCAGTCATCCAGGTCATAGTCATTAAAAAAAAAAATGTAAAAACAATCCACTGGACTTGGTTTCCAAGTTTGAAGACGTTTTTTTTTGGAATGACAAAATGTCAAACTTGGAAACCAAGTCCAGTGAATTGTTTTTAACTTTCCACATATTATATCTGAGGTAAGTTGGCAGCATGGGGCTACCAAATGTTTGAAATAAAATGAATTGAAACACAGATTTCAAACTGTTAATCTAGCTGTTGGAACACTTTCCAGTTCCAACAGTTTTCCTGCCCAGCCTGCTGCTGAAAATTAATCAAAAAGCCTTTTTTTGTATTACTTTTTTATATTTTAGAGCAATAATAATCTTCTAACTCAGGAGTCTCAAACTCTAACTCCTCAGGTAGCATCACTATTCAGCAACATTGCTAAATTTAATCAAAAATCAAGGTCATGGTAGAACTTGCTGACTCACCAAGGAGGTAATTTAGGAGTTGCAGACCCCTAGTTCTACAAAGAAAACAAAACACTTTATTTTGTGGATCAAGCCTAACTAAGTGAGCCTTTAATATGGCCGCTCACACCGAGTCTGTTCTGATTAAGGTTTCTTCCTGTTGAAAGGGAGTTTTACCTCTCCACTGTCGCTACAAGCATGCTTATTGTGAGGGATTGCCTTCGAGTCAATGAGTCGATGCAATCAACTGGTTTTCCTCAGATAGAAAACTTTGAATCTATTTGATTGTATGATCTGGTGAACTGTAAAGTGCCTTGAGAAAACATGTGTTGTGAATTGGCGCTATAGAAATAAACTGAATCGAACTGAATTAATATTAATATCAAGATAAATATAAGTTATGTGCCCCCCGTTAAAAACATAAAATTGTTTATTACTAAAAAAACATTAGTTTTAAAGGCTTGTCCAACGTGTTGCCTGCTAAATTCTACTCAGAAATTGCGTAAAAAGACACAGAAGTAAGGCTACATTTCTTTTTGCTTTCACTGTAACAAACAGGAGGTATGTGTGTCAAGTTAGTAGTTTATCAACAGTTTATTCTGGTTAATTTAAACCCACAAAGCTATTTATGTTAGATGAGCGGAGGCGTCATAGAACCAGCAGCAACACAGAGCCTACTCCCTAAACCAGAGTTAGACTGGATTCAAGTTAGAGTCACACCAGCGACTGTCCGTCGGTTTAGGTCTAAACTTAAACCAGAATCAAACTGGTCTTAGAATGGAGCTGGTGTGGATTTAAAATTAGCACCAGCTGAAGTTTAGCATGAATCTCAAACTGGAATAAAACTGAACGCAGGAACTATATCTAAATTAAAAATACACACAAGGTGTTTTTAAAAGCTGATGTTTAATTTTAATCAAGCTGGAGTTTTAAACCCGAGTCTTGCTGGACTCATAGCGACGGGAAGCTGACAACAAACTAGAGTCAGGCTGGAATGAAAAATTCACAAGCTGCAAACAAGCACAAACCAACAAACAGCCTGGCAAAAATATTCTCAGTTTAAAATATTCCAATATAAAAACATGTTCACGTTCCAACTACACTCCACACACAGACGTCACCATCTTTTCTCTCAGAAATATAAAAACACATCACAGCGATGTGCTTATTATTCTTTTCAAACATAGAGGGGTTCAGATTTTCTGCTACACGACCGTCAGACTTTAAAAAACATCTGAATCTTTTACAGATAAAAAAATATGAACTAGAAAGACGACAGAAAACTTTGCTACACCTGAACAGCCACGCCCTCCTCTCTGATTGGAGCGTAGGATGATGTCATCATACATGCGGGTGGGAACCATTGATTAAGGAGGCTAAACCTGTCTGAAAGGCTGTCTAAAGACTGAGAACCGTGTGGACCGCCCCCTGATCTGAACCAGGGGCCGTTCCTCATACTGCATCTTTGTGGTGAAGGTTTTCACTAATACAGACAAAATGAAGCTGGGTGTGTTTGTTTGGGGCGGATCGATGCTCCTTTACTAACAGACACCATTTATTCTAACCTGTGGAACAATAACGATGTTTAGCTGAAAAGCTCTGATCAACAACTCAAACTGTGTCACATGGGAGGAAGAGGAGCGTTGAACAGATGAATCTTCAGGTGCAAACAGAACCGAATCCAACGACTGTGTTGAAGGAACGACGCGACTGGAGAGTTTGACTCGTCAACAAATAATCGGGTTTGGATCACCTTAAAGCTCTCAGAGGTTGGTCGAAACTGACGATGGTACATCATCATCATCATCATCATTACATCCTCATCATTTGCATAATCCCAAAGACAGCGGCATTATCAGTAATATCACCATCTTCCTCACCTCCTCCACATTATAATCAGTGTAACCTTCATCAACTCTAGCACATTAATAATTGTTATTATCGCATCATTATCAACATTTTCATCACCATTATGACCAACATAAAAGTCCTTGTCCTAACTGTCATCTTCATGATGATGACTGTCATCATCACCTTATTTGCATAATCCCTCAGAACAGCTTCTTCATCATCATCATCATCAGTAATGACACCATCTTCATCACATCCACCATCATCATCTGCATCAGTCAACATCATTGTCACCTTTATCAACAGTGCTATTATCGCATCATTATCATCTTTATCATTATCACCATTATGACCAACATAAAAGTCCTTGTCCTAACTGTCATCTTCATGATGATGAGGATCATCATCACCTTATTTGCATAATCCCTCAGAACAGCTTCTTCATCATCATCATCATCAGTAATGACGCCATCTTCATCACATCCACCATCATCATCTGCATCAGTCAACATCATTGTCACCTTTATCAACAGTGCTATTATCGCATCATTATCATCTTTATCATTATCACCATTATGACCAACATAAAAGTCGTTATCATAACTTTCATAATGATGATGATGATGATGATCATGATTATCATCGTCATGATCATGATCATGATCATCCTGATTTCTCCGAGTCAGTGGAAAATGTAGTTGGGGATATCCCTATTGGTGTCTCATTGGTCTCAGATGGCGGTGTCCCAGAACACGGTGGTGGTGTGTCCGGCTGCATTGGGCGGGGCTGAGTATGGCGGCGGCTGCTTCCTCCTCCAGGTGGGCAGGTTGGGCATGCTGTCCTGTTTGCACAGGTTCTTCTCTGGCCGTTGGCGAGCTTTGATCTCTCGACACAAAACTCTCTTTTTCTCGATCATCTCCATCATAGTGGCGTCACCACAGAGCCACGGCATCTGGTGATGAAGAACAGCTTATCATCATCAACACATCGTTGACCCCCAGACTGAGCTCTGAGCCTCTCTGTATGGGGTCAGTGTTAGTTCCAGACATGAGGGTAGTGACATCAGTCTGTCACTGTGGCAACATTCAGACACCAACACTCAGACAGGAAGCAATCAGAGTTGAATTATCGAAGTAGAATAATCAGCATTTCATTTCTAATGAATTTCATTATCCTAACAGCCTAACGAGCGTTTTCATCTTGGATCAAGCATTTGAGAAAACCAGCAATTACTGGTTAATATCCCTCTAGAGGATTTTTGGCCCATTCTCCTTTGTGAGATGGTTTCCTGTTTACAGCCATTTATTTAGAGCCTTATTGTACTGATTGGCAGATACAGTCTGGGGGCAGTTTTACTACAAAATACTTTTACTGAGGAAAAATCTAAATATAATAATCACAGCTGTTACTTGAGTAAAATGTTTGGGTAGTCCATCAGTAGTACATTTATCGAATAACGAACAAGCTTTTTTTGTCTCTCTTTAAAGAATAAGACATGCAGTTAATATTTATATTAAACTGATTGTTCTTGTTTTTTTTTTATATTCAAGCGTATTTGAACCTACGACGACATTTGGAGGTCAAGCTGACATACAGTAAGGAGTAAATATCGTCAGCAGAGGTGGAGGTTTTATAACCCCTATGTTAAAAATAAATTTGATAGGAAAAATGTTTCTTCTGTCTGGAATTGTTTCTTTTAAAATATACAATTTCATCCATTAATGGGGTTGTGAGCGGTGCTGGTGCCTATCCCAGCTGTCTACAGGGTGAGAGGTGGGGTCCACCCTGGACAGGTCGCCATTCCATCGTAGGGCAACACAGAGACACACAGGACAAACAACCATTCACACACACACTCACACCTAAGGAGAATTTAGAGAAGCCAATAAACCTCACAGTCATGTTTTTGGACTGTGGGAGGAAGCCGGAGTACCCGGAGAGAGCCCACGCATGCTCATGGAAAACATGCAAACTCCATGCAGACTCCATCGTGTCCTATTTTTCTTTCGGAGATATTAAAGATTATTTTTAGGTCATCCAGAGGTTTCTATCCCTTCATTGAGCTCCAAACTAAATAAAAATGATCTACTTTTTCAGTGCTACTTAATTTTTGCTGGTAAAATTGTAATATTTTCTGAATCATTTTTAATGATTCTACCCCTATCAACCCTATAACATCTTCTTGTCAAGGTCTCACTATTGGCACTTCACAATAGAAGCACAGTGGAACTGTGACAATTTCAGACTGCTGCTAAATTGTTCTCTATGCACAACCTTTGAATCTGCTTAAAGAGTCCATGCATTTTTGGAAAAGCCCAGAGCACTGAAAAAGTAGGTCACTTTGGTTTAGCAGGGGTGCGTCTGGCTGATGCTCGGAATCGGGTGTATTTCCTTGTAGAAGGGAGGAGGACGAATAGTCCTAGGCTTTTTAAAGCCACCTAAAAACCTCTTCTGAACTTTTCTTATTTCCTCCTTTATCAGCTTTATTTCCTCTTAATTCCATTTTAACTGAAAAAAGCTTAATCTTGCCGGCACTTGACGCAAGGTGAATTCTTAAAAAGTTCAAATTTTCACCGCTCCACTCTCTCCATGCGGTGCTGCTGTTTGACAACACCTCATTTCTATCAAATAGGAAGAGTTGAGAGCAGAGCACTGACCCTGCCTCCTCACTGGCTGCATCCCTGTGTGGTTTACATAAGGATACTGTGCAAATCCAATGACACCGCATTCAGTCTGAGTGCCACTTAAGGAAACTACTTAAGGAACCACCATCTTTCTTATGTAACCTACTTTTGCAAAACTTGTTGATGCAAAGTATGTTTGTAGTTTGGCAACCTGCTGCAGACAGGGAGCGAGCTGAACAAAGGAGCTGTAGCCACGGTCCTCTGATATAGTACAGCTAGATTTATGCAATAAATAGCAGTCTTTAATTTACATTACATGAGGGAGGATAACATGTACGCTTCATTAAAAGAAAACACCAACCTCTTTGAAAGAACCCACACTGAAAACTTAATGTTAATGTTAAAATCAGAATACCAAACTTCTTCTGCTCTCCACAACTAAAGCAGGGATATGTATAATTAAAATGCTAAATGATGTTAGTAATTAAAACAGACAAAAAAGACAGTTCTGTAATGAAGTTTGTGTTTGGGTCTGTTTCTTATCTCAGGAGTTTCTTCAGTAGTTCCTTTGTGGTATATTTTATCGTGTCATATTCTGTTAATTTTATCCTTTTAGGGTTTCTATGTAGACTTATAGTTGGTTAAATATATATAAAAATAATCTAGTTACTTTCTGCCTTATGATTTATGTCCCTCTGTTGCAGCCTTTTAGTTTACACATTCACTATTATGAATGTCTAAACTACAAAGGTTGTCGTTTTAATATTTATCTTTGGCTTCTTTGTCTTAACTTTCCCAGTACTCCATCAGCTGGATGTATCATCATGGAAAGGATCTGTTTTTTGCCTTTTGTCTCCTTCCCAGACATTGACATCCATCCATCCAGTCTATGGGTGAGAGGCTAGGTACAGCCTGGACATACAAATACAAACAACCATGCACGCACACACTTATACCTAAGGACAATGTAGAGAAGCCAATTAACCTAATAGTCATGTTTTTGGACTGAAGGAGGAAACCGGAGTACCCGGATAGAACCCATGCATGAACAGGGAGAACATGCAAAGAAAGCATCAGGGCCAGAAATAGAACCAAGAGCACTCTTGCTGCAAGGCTACAGTGATACCCACTGCTCCACCGTGTGGACTATAAAATTAATACCGATGTTCCTGCATAAAATATTTTTGTAAAAAAATGCTGATAATCGGAGGACATTAGTGTAACTTAGTGACTAAGGGAGAAAGAGGAAGGGACGTGAGAATGAGTTAGATTTGGAGCAGTGGTTTTGTCATGGACAGCTGCTGAAGTTTTCATGGATTAAGATACATCTATTCAACCCTATAAGGCTGGTGTCAGCTTATTTAGGTTCAAGATGAGCTTGGGAGAAGTTGCAGAACTCCACACTGTCTCTTCTGTGCTTTTTGAGAGGCATGGATTTTTTTTGTTCCCTTATTGATAATTGCTAATGTTGCTGGAAGCCATGATGCGACTAAATCTAGGATACTTCTGTTAAAATAAGCCTTTTAAATTCATATAATTCAGAACCACTTCGTATGTCCTGATGCATGATTAAATAGGATCAGTATTGTGTCATAAACACTTTAATCTCATTGTGAATTTGTTAGTAATTTTCGATAAAATATTGTTAACTTATTGTGTCTCTATTATGTTTCCATTGGCGTCCCTATTCAACCTAATCTTGAGTTCCAAGTCAAGGTAGTGAATTTTAAATAGGTTTTCTTGCAGTTTTATTCTGTGTAAATGGAATTAAAGCTGGCTGTCGAAACAAGTATTTTTTTTTAAATTAGTTGGCTCTTATATGATTTGTTTCAGGGCATAACAGGGGGAAACTAGCAAAAAACTGGACAGAAGATCAATTTTAATGTTTAGCCAGTCCAGTATTAATACAAAGAAACCAGAACTAAGAACACAAACTACAATTGCTCCAAAAGGATTATTTGAACACAGAAGTAGACATACATGAAAATGATAACACTGTAGACTCAGACATAACAAACAGCATAAGAGACAACATTTAGGTTTTTATTGAAAAAGGTTTGACAAAGAAACACAATCACGGGGAGGAGGTGATGGAGGCAGGGTGAAGTTTGGCTCAGTTCTAGTCCGATTCTACCAACTGGCACTATGGAGGTTCTGTTATGCTTTGAATGAGTTCCAATCAAAAGAAACTGTATAGAAATAAAAGACTGTTTTGCTTGTGTTAAGCTTAATCTCTACTGTGTGATTATATGCATACCTCACACGACAAATGTAGGAGAACTGTATTAAACGGACTGAAACTGGGCAAAATGTTTAACAACATGGTGGAGAATATGTGTATCAAAATAGATAGAGTTAGAAGCAGGAGGGTATGGATCAGGTCAGCAGGGGGTCAGAATAAAGCCCTATTTACACTACCCTTTTGAAACCGTACCGAGATTGGTCTGAGCACGGTAACCGAGATAACTGTTTAGAGTAAATGCCACGCACAACCGTACCGGACCTCGCTAAACTGGTACTAGTTCATCGGTAGGGCTTTGTGCGGTTCAGTTCTGGCTAAAGGCTGATTTATACTCAGAAACCAGGTCATCTGGGTATGTGTCGCAGTGAATGCAAATTTGCCCTCCCGCAGACACTCTCCAAAATTGTAGGTGACCGCAGACAGTGCCGCAGACAGGAGGCCTCTGATTGGTCAAATCTACATCTGCTCTATACTATGTGTATTTCCTGTTTGGTACCTTACCGTCTTATTTTGTTTGTATGACCACCATTGTGGAAAACGACTTTTGAAGTTGGACCAGCTGGAAGAGTGAGTTGCGTGAGAATGCTGGGACCATTTTTCCACCTGGATCCCCAGCTGTAGCTAGACCCACAGCTAGTTCGTGATTGTCTTGCGTTGTGGCGTGGAATAACGTAGCGCAGACCACGCTTCAAACTTGGGCATAAATCAAAATCATATGCAACAAGCTAACTGCTACACACTGCTGCAGGTGTATAACCAGTCCTTCAGTTCTCCGATAACAAAGAGCGTACGAGCAGACCGCGTCATCTCCTTACAATCAGCGTCTGTAATCATGAAATTTAAGAGTCATAAAAATACTAGCTTCCCTACCGTGCCATACAATTTCCAGTGATGATTCTTCTTAGCAGTGTGATGAACCTAAACATCTGCCGTTGTTTCCTGTGTCTATAAGCCCTGATTAGACTATTGTTTGTCGTATCCACTTCCCAAAAAGCAGACTCTATCAAGGAAATCCACCAAAGGCAGCCTTCTTCACCTGACTCCCGCAAATAACGAAATATCACAATGATAACAAAACATAACTTGATTTGCCTGTTTAACTCTAGGTAGTACTGTAGATCGTCACTAGGAGGCCAGGAACTGTGCTAGCGTGGTGTGTAAATGGTCTTAAGGAACCAGGCTCGGCACAGTTAACTGATCCAAGCTCGGCATGGTTCGGTTTTCAGGGAGTAGTGTAAATGGGGTATAAGGAGCGGTAGAAAAATAATAATAATAATAATGGGGCTTAGTCAAAATGCTTTATAATGAGGGCACAGGCAGTATGTGTATGACTGGAGCTGGCAGGTATGGATCAGAGTAGGACCTAATTAGAAAGTATCAGAGTGGGAGAATTCAGCACATATTAGAATATTCAATGTGTGGACAGAGGTAAGAGGATTTTGTTTGATTTCTTGTTTTATGATACTAATGTTTAAAAAGAGTTTAATGTGTTAAAGTGCTTGAGAATGACTCAATGTTAGTTCAGCATCAGTGTGGTGTTACGGTGCTGCTTTTTAAAACTTTAGCATGTTAGTAATAAAGTGTTATTGAGCCAGTGAATGTTTGGCTGCAGGCTGTTAGTGATTATAATTTAGATTAAGACCAAAAACTAAGTTCAGGAGAAGGTCTGAAGCTCCTGTTCTCTGTTTGTTCACCAAAGTTCAGTCCTGTGTGAACATTTCAAACACATATGGTCAGGACAGGTGATAGAGACACAAGCACACAGGTGACAGGGTGCTGGACAGGTGTCTTACCTGGCTGAGGGCGGGATGGTGGGACTCGTGGAGGTGGCGTTGTGGAGTTCCTGGAGAAGGAACCCCTGATGTTGATGCAGATCGGCCCAGTTTTCCTACGGTCTTTGATTCTGCAGAACCACACACCAGGATGTCATTCGACATAGTAATGTTGCTATAGGTTTAGACTTGTGGAGGACATAGGGACCCCCTTTTCATCATTCTGCTTCATTCTATCTCTATTCCACCACTCTGCAGAATCTCTTAGTTCAATCTCTAACGTTATGCTCTCCCTGCTTTTTCTCATAGTAGCTTCACCTTGTCTGTTCCTGTTTGACTGTGACACCATCCTGGAGAGAAATATCAGCTGTGCTGCTGTCATCAGCACCTTTGCTTATAGATGTTGGAGATCGGCTGAACGTGGAAAGGAACAGCCGGAAGTACAATGGAAAACAGGAGAGTAAGATCAGGCAAAAAAATGGATGGATAAACTTGGGGATAGCTAAAGGATATGAAGATGTATAACTACTGGAAAATACACTGTGTTCAGATATTATAATTCCACATAGTAAATATGATGGAACACATAGATTAAAAAAGCACAAAAACACATAAATAAATTATACTAGCAAGTCCTACAGAATCAGACAAAGATTTTATTGAGAGGAATATTAGAAATGTTTATTCCTTTATATTCTGCTGTTTGTAGACTGTAAATAATTCACTGTCAGCTGTCAATACAACTTGTCTGCTGTTTCTGTGAAATCCCCGTTTCCTCAGATGTACTTTAAATGGACATATTATCTATGTGATTTAACATTACTAAAATTAAAACAGGTTGCAAAGCTTGAAGCATCTGTTTGTTTAGGGGGGGTGGTGGCCCAGTGGTTAGGGCTTAGAGTTTGGAAACCTGAGGTTCTTGATTCAAACTCTCTTCCACAGCCTGCCACGATGCAAGACCCTTAACCCCTAATTGCCTGATTGAATCCTTGGTCGCCCCTCAATGGCAACCCATCGGCAACCACAATGGCAACCCACTGAGGTAAATTTCTCCAAGATGAGATCAATAAAGTTCAGTTATTATTATTATTATAATTGTCTGAAAATTATTTAACTTAACCAAGCCTTCTGTATGGTTGGAAGCTCGGCCTGTCGAGGGTTGAGTTTGACTCACCGTCCATCTGACCTCCTGTTGATATACCAGTTCAAAGCGTTAAAGCTACTCACCTCCTCCCCCTGAAAGCATCATGGTGGGGCTCACGGATGACCTCCCCAACCTGCTGGACACAGGACTTGATTGTCCATCTCTGTCTTTGCTGTCATGTCTTGGCAGAGACTTGGAGTCTCCTGCGTTAAATAAGAAAAGACATGTCAGTGCATACGTAAAGAAACAAACTGATAATTTTGTCTGTTTTTAATAGAACATTTTAAAAAAGCACAAAGAAGAAAAAATGTCGGTAGATGAAACAATAAAACTTAAAGAAGAAAATCTGAGAGTATGTGGTGCAGTATTAATCCTTTTCAAGTGAAAATGTTTTCTGGAAATTATCAGAGCTTCTACGTAAACGCTCAAATGGTTTTCTAAATTGAAAGTTATTTCTGAAATGTTTTTACCTGCCTTCCCCTCTCTATTCTGCTGATCTTTCATCTGCATCAGCAGTGCTCAAAATGGGAGTTATGGCCACACTCTAGTTAATCTTGAACCTAAAGTTCAATTCTACATGTTCACAGGGAAAAATGCAACAACATTTTTTGCAAAAGCAGGAACTCTGGATAAAAAGGAGAAAAACTAGCATATTTTAGTATCTGATATTGCTTCATGTAGTGAAAGCTGTAGATATATGGAAACATAAACAGGGTGACCAGATGCCTCTTTTTCCCAGCTATTTCTTGCTTTTCAGACCTAAATAAATGCCATGGGGGGATTTCAAAATCGTACGGGATTTTGGCTGACTGCCTCGAACACATTACAGAGCCTATATGTAACGATCTTCGCTCTGTTGGTTTTCTCTAAGTTTTCAGTTTCAAGTTTATCCAGGTTTTTCTTTGTTTTCTAGCTTTATTGGTGTGTTCTGGATTTATTTAAGTTTCTTAGGTTACTTATTGCTTGTCCTCTGTTGCCCCCTTGTGTTTTCTTCTCCCTTGGCTTCCTCGTCAGCTCTACTCACACCTGCTCCTTATCAGCTCGTTAGTCCTGCCTTTGTTCAGTCAGCAATAAATACGTACACTCCCTCTGCAGTCCCTCAGTGCAGCTTCCTCGTCTTACTTTGTCTCACCCTGGCTCCTTGTGATTGTTTTCCCCTGATGTCGCCATGGTTCTGATTTATGTTTAATTTTTATGTATTTATACATTTATAAGTTGGATTTTTGGATTCCTGTTTTTGCTACCAGTGTTATCCCATTAAATCTTCACTCACCCCTGCCTCTCAGCCTCTGCATTTGGGTCCTCACAAAAACCTCAACCAAATTGTGACAGAAAAACTTAAAGAAAACCAACAGAACCAAGATCATTACACCATAGGGCATTGTGATTAGATTGCCACTCCATTCCACTACTCCATTGCAGGTTTCTCTCTATGGTAAATTAGTCACGCCCATACCTTTTCCCCAAATCCAATCACTTTGCATCATCTATGTGTGATCATGTGTGGGAAAAGTAAAGAGAGTTTGCTTGCTGCTAGTCTACTCCTGAGTGCGACAGGCAATAGCACATATGTGTCCACCGGTTTTACAGCAATGCCTAAAGGAAAGTGTGCGTATACGGAAGAGCTAAAGAAAAAATTCTTGCGCTTTTGCCAGGGTCGTGAACCATATGAGGCAGGGTGTTTGACATGTAAGGCAGGCACTTATGTGTCTGTGCCACAGACACATAAGTGCTGTGCCATTGTCTGTGCCTTGCTCAATGTGTGATGGTGTAGTAGTAACAGCAGTTCTATATATAGATGCTAATACTAAACATTAAGATGCAGCTACAGATATATATAGTTCTGACTCCGACTCATATGGATACCCGCTGCTCTTCTCTGTTCCTCTCATCTCATGCAGTTAAATTTAGTTGTTTTTCCTTTATTTTCTCTCTTTTTGTACACTCTTTCTTTTCTCTCTCTCTCTCCCATTAGTTCTTATTCCTTCTTTCTTTTTCACATCCCTGTCCATGTCCGTTATATATAGGTTTACTCCCCAAATAATGTTCAATAGAGTTTCATATACAAGTATCAAGCAGAAGCTTATGGCAACACTCATCCTGGTCTGCTTGTGAAAGCAAAGCTGTTGGCCTATCATCTAGCACTGAGACATAAATTCTCAGAGCTATATTTGATAAACAGGACATAAAAAATGAAAGAAAGATATAAATATAAAGAGCTGTAGAGGCAGAAGGTAATTAAGCCAATGCTAAGGGCCTGCAAACCGTCAGCAGCCTCCCATTAATGCTTTAATTTTAAAATCGATCTAAAATGAGAAAGAAAATACTGTTAAAATTGATTTGACAATTTAAGCAAAAGTATTTAAATGGTTTAATATCTTAACTTAAGGTTTTAAAGGGCCCTTTAATTTATTCCTCTACATAATTCCACCAAATCTGTATAGAACAGGTGTTATAAGTGATGATGATCATATCAGGAAGAAGGGCCAAAACACTACTCATGTTAAGGCCCCATACAACCTTGGGCCATACCTTCCTTATTGCAGGAGATAACAGCTTAGATGAAGCAGAGTTCTGCTGCATGTCTGACTCATGCTGTTCAAGTACGGTACTTTGGTTTCTTTATTAGTATGTTTTCTAATATTCTGTGATATTCTTACCTTCACCCTCTCGGCTCTTCCTTCCTCCTGAGCCTCTCTTCTTCACTTGTCTGCCTGATGCAAACAGGTTGTTTAGTTCATCCAGTGGACTCGTTGGAGTCTGGGACCTCCCGGAGACGTTATGCATGGAGCCATGGGCGGAGGAGGAGTTACTGAGTTTAGCCCCGCCCTCTCCTGCCCTCTGCGAGGATGATGATGATGACGAAGAGGAGCGGGGCATGCTTCCTCCAGCTATCAGAGTATCGTAAGGTGGTGGCCTCTTCAAACTGAGAGGAGTCAAAGAGCGTCCCATGCTGACCGGAGAGGGACACGCTGATTGGCTGCGGGGGTAACCATGACCACTGTGGGCAGAGCTAGATGACTTGTAAAAGCTGGAGGGAAGAGGAGGGGCTGATGACCGACCAGAGGATGTGATTGTGTGTGTGTGGGGCACTTCCCGGTCCCTATCCTTGTCCCTATCCCTGTCCCGGTCTTTGCGGTGGTGACTGGAGCTCTGTGGCTGCTCTGCACCCCCTGATTTACTCACGTTAACATTTTCTAACATAGGTAGACGAGTTACGTCAAGGGGCGTGAGAGGGGACTCGTCAGAGTTAGGGGAGCATTGAGCCGGGGCAGGTGGAAAGACAAGCAGAGGTGGACGGTGAGTTAGGAGGTTGGGGAAGGGTGGGGGAATGTCACAGAATGAGCCCCGGGAGGCCCACGCTTCACTGTCCAGGATGGTGGACTGCACATCCTGCAGAAAGTCTTCCAGCATCGGGTACTTCATCTCCTCATACACAGACTCACTCTGCTCATCGTCAAGAGCTTCCTGACTTTTCAGCTCCCGCAGGATGTTTCCAACCATTTCAATATAAACTGGCTCCTCATCGTCTGTGTCTCTGGATGCGGGACTCTGACTCTGAGATGAGGATTTGTCACCTTGTAGGGAAGACTTCTTGCTGCAATGGTTACGGATGTAGGATTCATCAAAAGACGAGCTCAGCTGAGTGTTTGGATCTCTTTTGGGTTTGGGGGGAGGCATCTTTTTGCATTCTTCAGTGTGTTGATAGAATCGAGCTGCAGAAAAACAGAGAAAACTAATAACCCATGAACCTTCTGCAATTTCTACTTCTCATGTTAGTCAACCTTATGACTAAAATCAGTCTCAAACATGTTTTAGCTCTTATTGTTTAATCTTAAACTGGTATCATGGGATCATCAGACACCCAAGATTCAAATAGCCCGATTACATATTCATTCGTCATCCAGCCCTCAGAAGCCTGGAAATAACAGTTTATAGAAATAAGCTCTTGGTAACAGCAAGAAGCACGGTAGTTTATATTCAGTCCTGAGGGACTGATGTCCCATAGGTCTTTACTCCAATTAAACTGATTCAAGTGGCTGAATTGGCTCTTTAGCATTCCATCATCTGGAGCAGCCTGCTAATGACTCATCCATTTCCATTAAAGGTTTTAAAACATGCAGGACACCAGCCCTAAATCTGGACACTACTTACATGAAGCCTGCCCTGGACAGAGGTCTGAAACATTGTCCTAAAGCTGAGGTCTTAAACAGGGAGTCTGCGACCCTTTAGGAGGTCCATGGAGGTACTGCATTGGGGGTTGCGAAAGTTTTGGTTGATTAGACTTTGATTTTATATTCCCCCTGCAATTTTTTCCACTAATTGAAATGTCTTTAAACACACATAACATAAATTCAACACACTGCAGTAAACAGATAAATGGAGGCAGAAGATGTCTTTCATTCATCAATGCACACATTCAGCGACATGGAGAAGCTCTTTCAAACTGGGCACCATTTCATTCACAACACCTGTCCAATCAACCAGGAATCAGAATGAGAAATACTTTAATAATCCCAGGGTGAAATTACTTTTGTTAGTTTCCTCCATCTGTAATAGAGTGACTATAGGACCAGTTTGATATAACGCTATTTCATACAATATATATATGTAATTAGGGGGTCCCTGCTCCAACACGCCATCAGCATGGGGCTCCTTGGCCTGGAAAATGTTGCAGACCCCTGTTCTAAAGGACATAGAGACTTTCTATATGCTATGATGCTGTTCTCACCTTCTGACGGTTCTGCACCATCCTTTGTTTCTTGATAATCTCTCTTTATGAAACCAGAGACTCCATCTACCGCCTCAGAGCTGCTGCTCAGTTTGGTCGTAGGGTCTCGCCTGGGTTTAGGTGGGGGTTGTTTGCGACTGTGGTTGGAATCTTCCTCTCCCCCGCCCACTGAGTGAAGAGACTGGGATCGAACAGTGAAGCCTTGCGTAGTTGTAGGCAGTCGATCCTGTGGTGCCGGCATTGTCATGAAGCCCATTCTGAAATGTTTCCCAGAGTATGCCCCATCTGCAGCCATGGTGACATCTTCCCCAATCCTGAAAAAGACCCACAGAAAATTTGGCGAGTTCCCTTCTGATCTGAGATTTATTCAAGTATAGTGTCAATAGTCATAATCAGAAATGTCAAAGATGTCCATAAAATGTGTAGAACGTTTAGCATACAATACTGTGGACAGTAAAATAATGATAATGAAAAGTTTAAAACAAGGGCTTCAATGTAAAACTCTTGATTCGTGGGGCCGTGGAGCTTTTACTTGTTGTTTAAATAGTTTATTTAGCTCTCTGCTCACGACCTACTTATTTGATTTAAATAGATTGAAGCACAGACACACCAAAAACTGCAGGGCACCAGTGCACTAAGACTTAGGAGTTGCAATCTAATTCTACCAGTTTAAATTTCCATGCCCTGGTGTTCTGCATTAGAACAAAAACCTCGTCTTGTTCATGTTTTTGTTGTTAGGAAAAGTTGATCTGTTTTAAGTGAAATGTATCAGCATTAAACATGATGATCTTAGTTACAAAACTGCATTTACCTCTTTATTGCCTCTTCCTGCCTCCTTTTCTTCTGGTGTTTTTCCTGAAGATAGTTCCAATTGGTTTGGTTCCGTATGCGGTCGCTCTCCCTGGCGATGTCAGAAGCGTTTTGGATCACCAGACCATCGTATGTTCGAAGACCGCTGTCCTCGACGTACTGAAAGAATCTTCTGAAGGAAGAAGCCTCTTCCTGAGAGGTCATGACTCACAGATCTGAAGAGAGGATAAGATCAGATGCTTTCTGAGCTCATGCTATGTTCTCCTTGGGTTTGAGTTTCAGTTAATCAGGTTCTGTGGTACACAGCTGAGGTTATATGTCAGATTAAATTAGCCTCAACCGCAGCTCTGACTTCTAGCAATATACGTGAAGAACATTTGTTGACCTGAGAACTGTCTCCATTTTAATCAGAAGGAGGGGAATTAGGGGTATTAGGAAGTGGAATTAAAATCAATAATAATAATAATAAATCATAAAATATAACAATTGCAAAAAATAAAAAACTGCTTTTTTTGGAAAATTTGACACATATTCTTCTTAGAAAGACTTTGTAAGTATACATTTTAGTCACATGACTCTTAAGTATAGATTTTGGCCATAATGCACTGCATAAGACAAACGGCACCAGTTTTCGGGTTAAAATTAAGATTTCTTTATTGAGGGGCAGCTTCTGTCTACAGGATCAAATCATATCAAATTTAAAGTTTGATGATTCAAGATGTAAAACTGTGTGAGAAGGAAGGAAAGTGCTACACAATATAAAGTTAGATCCTTGAAATCCTCTCATCTCTGTATTGTTGAATTCCTGTATTGAAATGTACCATACAGGTTGTTCCTTTATGAATATGTTAAAACAAATAAGAATAAATGTGCAAAGAGGAGAAACAAACATTGTAACAAACATTTCTAGAGATGGTTTATTCCCAAAAAACAGCTTAACTTGCTGCTGGTTGCAGTTTGTCTCTTAATTCTGTTGGCAAAAAAAAAATGTTCTCATCAGCGCTGAAAGCTGTTTTTCTGGATCCCAGCTATGAAAGGTTTAACTCTAACATTTAATGCCTTGCATGTCATTAATATATCTGAACCTGCTAAGGGACCGAGAACCATCGGTTCATGGTCTCTGTTGGAAAAGTACCTTGTTGATAAAGTCTTTTTGAATCCATCTGCTCTCTGTCGGCATCCCCTCCCCCAACCCCTGTCTCTCAGCATCCTTCTAAAAATGGAAGAGAGAGTCGGCCAGCAGTATCCTAGCAACAGCAGCATCTCTCAGAGGAGCATGATGTAATGCATCCTTTTACATGGCTGGTGAAGGGGAGACGATGAAAAGAGAAAAAGGAGGAGGTGAGGGACAGATGTTCCTTCTAACGATGCAAACTCCTCTGAAGCTCCGTCTGACCAGCAGGTCAGTATTTGGAAGATAAAAAAAAAAACTACTGCTGCTCCTCCCAGAATCATTTCACGCTTCACCTGCAGCTGATTTTATTATTGTCAGTTGATTTATTTACGTAATGTCTCTCTGTCAAACACATTCTCGAGCCCAAAGACGTGAACCCAACTTTACTTTGAGTTCTGTTTCCTCATGTTTGTATCTACGTTCCAACTTTCTGCTAATTCTTTAGGGAATTGGCAATTGCATAATCAGATGCTTCAAAAACATAAACACTTTAAAGTAGGAACATATTGAAGTAAATTTGCTGCAATTGAGCTGGGTCAGGTTGGAAAAACACCTGCTGAACGCCAGCTTCTCCAGCTTATGTATGGAATTCCACTGACAACCAAATCGAGAGAAAGTAGAAAGAACTAAAACCAAGGTCAGGAACAAACAACAGACAGATCTGTTAGTAAGCAAGGACTGTAATAATTGTAGAAATCAATAACAATACAAACATTTCTTCGTGTTAAAAAAAAAAAAGTTTTCCTTTCAACTGTCACCAAATGCTTCCCAGGAATAATGGATAACTGCAAGGGTGATAACTCAATAATTCAGCTGGGGTTCCTATGCATCCTTTGAACCAACTGACACAATAACTTCAATTATTCTATCTTGTATTACAGTTGAGATCAGACTGGACCAGGAGTCACTGAATCTAATCTGTCTGCATAAATTGATTGTATTGGTATACATTTAGTGAGTGAGAATTTCCTTGTAACCAGAAATCAACTTGAACATTTTCAATTTAAATGCTTTGAGAAACATAGGTAATAAATTGTATATAAATTAGAAAAAAAGGTGAATGGATGAATCTGAAGAACAGTTCAGTTTTGGCTTTTGACTAGCTGCTCTCTGGTTCCAGTTCTTGTGTTAAGGCTCAGCCCCATGGTTCTCTGGTTTCTGTTTTGTATTGCTTAGATTTCCTTTCTTTGCTGCTGTGGTTTTAGTCTTTGGTCCATTGATTTTATTCATCTCATTTACTGGGTTGATTTTGGTGGTCCATTGTTTTTACTCCTGTTGCTCTTGTGTTTCATTCCTGCAGGCCTGTGGTTATGGTTGGGTTTAAAAATGCTAATATGGCAGCCATATTGAATCATGCCTTGGTCTCTTCCTAGTTGAATTATTTCAGATGTTTTATTCTTTTTATTTCCCCTTTATATTCCTTTCATGTCTTTCAAAATTAAATGTCCACATTTAAATCAAAATATTTTATTGTTTTTTATTATTCTATTCTGATTGCTTATAAAACAATGGTGGACATGTGGAAGGTAAAAGGGTTTGGGGTGAGAAGGAGTCGGACATGTTTTGAAGAGACTTTATTGACACTTCGAAGGGGATTCTTATTAAGCTAAAAGAGATCCTGAGAACAGCAGACATATTGAATACATGAAGCTGGAGGCTTACCTGAGGACCAGCGAGGACTCACACTCCCTCCATCCTTCCTTCAGTCCTTCCCTCAGTCCTCCCTCTGCTCCCAGATGGAGTGATGGAGCTTCCTGATGGCCGGAACTCAGAGGAAACGATGACTCTGATGTTTTTCTGCAGCAGCGATAATCCACCCTTCAACACCTCCTGCTGTCACAACCTCCTCCTCCTCCCCTCCTTTCCTCCTTTCCTCCTTCCCTCCGTCCTGTCATAAATCCTTACGCCTCACCCTCACACCCTTCAGCCGTGCACACAACGATCGGCACAAGAAGCAGGAGGCTGAAACCACGGCAACCTGACAGCATCCTCAGGCTGCTGACTCCTCCCCCTGCTGACGGCGGCTCAGTGTGTGTGTGTGTAAGAG